TCATACGGTAATGTATTTTGAAGAACTTTCTTCTACTGGTTTCCTGATGAAAATGCTGAGGGCATGTTGTACAGCTTGTGTCACAATCTTTCTAAACTTGAGATCCTATTTGCTTTTTCTCCTTTAACCTGTGGGCTATAAACATGGAACAAAATAGAATGGTCTGAGATGATTTATTTTTCATCTCCATTAGGAAGGTTGTCCAGAATACTTCCTGTGTCCCTGTTTCCCCAGCCCTTCCCCAGAGCCAGTAGTCACTTCTGGTTGGTCTGGTCTGAGTCACACCTGACAGTTTTATTAGTGCTCATGAACAGCGTTGGGCAATGGCTGGATCACTGGCTGAAACTTGGCAGTATGTCTGTAATATCATGGATTTGGGCTTCTGGCAGGCAGGCAGCTGACACCCTGGGACACTGGTTTGACAATGGACGTCTCTGTTCATCTCAGAAATAATTGTAACAGAAAAAAAAATAATCTTGCTGTGATAGTCATCTACAAAGCAGAAAAAAAAAATAAAAAGAAAACATAGCAATTTACCTAGTGTCTGGTCTATTCACTAACAGGTTTCTCAACACTGAAATGGTTCCTCTTTTCTTCCCAAATTATTTAAGAGCAATAAACATACTCATCAGCTGACTTGTCCTCCAGCGGCTTTGAGAGTTTTTTAAAGGGCTGCTTTATTTCCTCTCCTTCATTCCTGGCAAAATCACAAATATCTAGCTGAACTCACATTACTTAAATAGAAAGTAATAGAAGAAATGGTTGTACAAGTAGTTCAGGGTCTGGTCACAAATATGCACTAAGCTGCTGGTTCTTCTGGGTGAATTTCACCTTGAGCAGAGAAAACAATTACACCTTGTTAGCTCAATAAAGGTAATAATCCTTCTTGTATTTTAGTCAATCCATCTATAGAGTGAAGTGGAAAGACAAAATAGGACTCTAAAGAGCCTGATAGCTGAGTGGTTATTTATAGTAAAAGAGAATAATCATAAAATAAGATGAAAATATTTTCATTTTAGACTGTTATCCTAAAACAGATCACAAGTAATTTGAACCAATATATAATGGAGAGAAGTGTTTAAAAAGAAAAAAAAAACCTAATGACAACATTTTTGTTTTTTAATGTTTCTTCTGGAAGCATGCTGTGCCAGGTGCAGTAGTAAACATACCTCCTTTGAATCACTGGAGATGAAAACCAGCCATATACTTGAGCTTAGGTGGTTCTTATGGGTTTATAACTCTTTTGTATCTTTTGAGCATTCAGGAAAATACAGCATGCAGATTTTTAAACTATGATTCTGGCTACAGAGGCACAACACATTCTTTTCTGTTTTTAATAAGTCTCTCTCTTTGTGCAACAAATCCTTCTAAAAAATGGTACCAGCAGTGCTAACCAATGGGTAGCAGCTAGAGGCTGGGGGGAGAGGAATTGTTTTGGCTGGACAGAGACTAAGGGATTTATACACCCAAATTTCTATTGTTTTTAATAAGAATTTGGCTTCAAAAATCATAGCCCTCATATGTATTCAGTCTCTGAGAACTGGGGATCTCTCACCACGCATTCCTATCTCATGTGATGCAATCCCCCCTGGCTGCTGCACCAGCCGGGGCAGGCAGGTGTGGCACCACACATCCCCGGCAAGGCTCTCCCTGGTCAGGAACCCGTGGCTGCTTTTCTGGTGGAGAGCATGTACCATGTGACGGCTGGGGCAAGGAGGAACCCATATCCCACCAGGAGTGCAGAGGTTCCTTAACAATCTTAACAAGGTTTACTGAGTTATAATAGGAATTGTTTTTTCTTATTCTTTCAGTGGCTTTTCAGGAGGTTAGGAGAGACTTTATGAAAATACAGGGTACTTGTATGCTCTACCTATATTCCATATGCTCTGGTAAATTGCCATTCCAGTTCTCCCATGCAAATAACTGAAGGAAGTGGAAAAAACTTAAAAAAAAATCCTTTTAATAAAATGGATTTCTTTTCTGATGGGAAACCTGAGTAAAAATGTGGAAGTATTAAGTATAAAACAAGGGGATGCTGATTTATTGTCTGAAGACTGCTGTGATAATTGAGAACTCTGTGTTTAGGATTATTTACAGGAGGACTAAGTGTTACTGTTACTTTCTTGTAGTCAGTTCATCGGTGGCTGATAAGTAAAGCATGTAACTTTGTAAGGTGTTGCAGGCAAAGGGAATTTTTGCAATAATGTTTGCATTTTCACTACCTTGTCAAGGGACTCTGTAATTTGTACAGAAGAGAACTAGCTATACAAGGACAGCATTCACTGCTACATATACCAATTAAAAAATTTCGAAGGCATATTCTTGAGCAGAACTTTAGTGGTGGTAAGTTAGTTTAGCATATGTTTACTGTAAGTTTGTTAGTGTAGGAGATGTCACAAAAATGAGAAACTTCAAAAACTTGATCAAGGCATCAAGACAATGGGACACATCATTTTGACACAGGAATTTTTATGGATTGCATGAGTCTGGCTGTACTCCAGAATTAGTTCCAGGCTGAACTATGGTTCCATTCTGTATCTTCCTTCACGTTAGAAACCTGAGGAGTGAGTGGTTATTAACTGACCTGTATTACGTGCACTGTTTAAGCACGCTGAGTACAGCACATGATTGTGACTCTATTTTTAAGTACACTTCTCTTTTATGTGTTTTTCCTTAGAATGGTTCTGTAGGTTAGTGTTGGACACAACCTGTACACACAATGTGTGTGGCTCTAGAAGGGAAGTCACACTATCTGCCAGTGCTGAGCATAAAGAAGAGGGGAAGTTCTCTCTTCTTAAACTGTATGAAAAGAAGGTATGAACAAGCATAATATTTTTACTTTCTTGCCATTATAGCTGCTGCTTTTATCTCAAGAAAATAAATTATCAGTGCAGATAAGGTGATGGCTGAAATTCTCCATATGTTTCCATAGATATGCAACTTTCTGGCAGAATAGCACAATTCTTTGTGCAGGCAACTGAATCACCAGAACTAGTGGGCTAGATTAATGTGAGGAATTATATCTATTAATGTGAGGAATTATATTTAAATGTCTCTTTAGTGCTTAGGATATCTCTAGGTGTCACTGGCATTTGCCTGCCTTCCCACCTACCTTTTCTCCCTCTATGCCAATCCTTTTTGGGCTAGTTTCTGCTAGTGAAATACCCACAGAACCTATCAGTCTGCTTCTGAATTTGTGCCACCTGCCTGTTTCCTGACCACATCAATCCCTGTGGGGTTCAGCCCACATCTTAAAACTGAGGGAAATGTGTTCTCATCCTCTTTCTTTTCTGTCTTGCTTGTGGTTACAGAAAAAAAAGTGTAGAGAATATGTATAATTTAGTCAGAAAAAGGCCTGTTTTGTGGTGTTGAATCAAGCATTCCTTAGGGTTCTTACCTTTCAGTCAATAGATGTTGAGATTTTTTCGCCTGTTTTGGTGAATTAAAACATTTCACCAGGAGAATGATGTAACACTATCTAGGACTGGGGTTTTTGTACTTGGTGCCCTCCTACTTATGTTCCTACTAAATTTTCCCTATGCAGGGATAAGAAAAAGAATGATTTCTAGAAAATATATCTTAGGATATTTACTACAGAGGAAGGAGAGGTAGATGTATTTATTGAGACTAATTGGCATCTAGAAGGAGAAATAGTATTTTTTAAAAAGGAAGAAAATAAAAAGGTGTGTGTATACAGATGATGGGCAGGACAGTGGGAACCTGCTCGGGTATCTTGATGGCTGAATTTCTGCTGGGAGATGTAGGATAAAAATCTCTCAGCAGAGGAAGAACAGAAAACCAAGGCTGAGATTGAGCCATTTGTGACTGTGAATCTGTGTGAGTGTGTGTGTGTGCAGTCTTATACTGCACTTGTCTTTGTGTTTCCTAAGGGCTGGTTTAAGCAGCTTCCTGCTTAGTTTGCTGGTGTCTGTGTATTCCATTTCAATGTGCCTAGAGGCCTCTGATTGATTTATATGTTACTGCCAGCTTGAGACAGCTAATGTGGTTATCACCTCTAGCTGTTTACCCCACCCTTGAAGAGCTAAATAACTCCAGTGGTTCAGCAGCTGGTTTGTGAACAGCTCAAATATCAGCTCAGGGAGAATGAGGGGGACACTTGGACACAGTAGCCTCACCAGCTGTCTGAGGCTGAGCCATCTCTTCTTGTTCATGTGAGCCAGTGTCCCCTCACATGGCACAGAGCAGGTACAAAGCAGTTCTGTGGCCAGGGGCCCTTTTGACAGCTTAGATACACAAGAAATAAATGTTATAGTGCTGAAGGTAGCTGTTCTAGTATAGTTCATCTGAATGAAAATGCCTAAACCCTGTGTATAATGAGAAGCCTCATTTGCAGATGCTGAATTGGAAAGGATTGTTAAGATGAGGAAAGCCCATTGGGAGTATACCTGGAAATGGGCAGCTCAGGAGTGTCACTTAGAAAGCAAGACATCAGAGGCTGGGATTCAGTTACTTAACTGTGTAGCTGCTTCTGGACCTGTTTTTAAGATTCTTTTCATAATTCTAAGTGGAGAAATGGTTACTCTTTCACAGTATAGAGAATTCTAATGACTCAAATAGGCCAAGTAATGGGGCATTCTAACCTGTTCATTCCTGCCCCATTTTTGCAGCTGCATCCAGCCCAAATAAAAGTTAATTTCTTTAAGTGCTTACTTACTGCTTAGTGGATTTTTGCAGTGTGTCTAGAGTCACTTGACATAGGGTTCTCATTTTAGCATTGTGATTTAGAGAGAGAAGAGAAACTTCTTGGTACAGATGTCAATAGTATCAATTGCTCTGGGTTTCTGGGAAATGTCTAGCTGATACAAACTGTGTAAACAAATCTCTATGAAAAGCTATTTTAAATTAGAGTTTACACAGTTGAGGAAAAAAACTTATGTTTCCTTTTTCTGTCAGGTTAGAATTACAAAGGTAGATGCTTATAAATAAGGTTTTTTCTTGATTTTTATCTAGCTATTTTCCATTTCTTTCTCTTGTTACAGTCTCCATGCTTACATAACAGCTCTCAAGAGGAAGCTGCTAACAAGCCCACCTGATCGTTTGTGCCAGCTGTTGTAGTGGAGGCATGCTGGATGCAACTGAGCTCCACCTTCTCTGTTGAGGTACATTATTGAGACACCATAATATATGGCTCAGTCAGAATGATAGCTGCTTAACCTCTTGGTACTCTTTTCATTAATTCTTTCTTGGATCACTTATTGTGTTTTGTCTGTCACAAAACTGGGTTGAAAACTGCTCTGGGCATGGAATGTGTCATTCATTTAAACAACATCAAGGCACACTGTTCATGTTTAATTATTACTTTAATGTGAGTGCTAAACTGTTTTCAGTTACATCTAACAAACATGTTTTCTGGGACTGGTTGCTGGCTGACCTCAAGTAAGGGCATGTTAGGCTAAGCCTGGAAATGCTGCATCAAGCTGTCATCTCAAATAGAAGTGAGCTCATTCATCCTCCTCTGAACTATCATATAGATGAACTGATAGAAGCAGGATATATTAACTGCCCACCAGAATGAACATTGCAGTGTGCTGATTTATGATGAGAAAATTCTAGAGTAATCCTATTGATGATGCCGAAAAACATCTGTTCACCGTTGCAGTAGCTAAGCTAGGAATACTGTGTAGTAGATGAAAGCCACCTGTTCATGAAATCTTTCAAAACAATATATAAATATTGCTGTTGATGCTGTTGCATCAGTTCTTTTTTCAGGATATCCATTATGGCATGACACATTCATTTGGAAATGGTCAGAATAGTTATAGGCCCAGTTCCAGTAGAACATAAGCATGTGACCAATGCTCTTACTTTCAGTTGCTTAAGAAACCACTTTGATGTCATGTTTAGAAGTGACTGTCATGCTAAGGTAACTTTAATGACAGAGGGAAAAACATATCTACATATATTTTTTTTTCAGAATAAGATACTGTAGAAGGTAATGTAAACAGAATAAGATAGTGTAAACAGAATAAGATAATGTAGAAAGCAAGGTCTAAGCTGTGTTTATTTGATAGATCATTTTAAAAGAATAAGAGGAAACCACCACAATACCTAATGCTTTGGTTTTTGTAGGATTTGGGGGGTTTTGACATGCTCCAAATAAATTTCTTCTGAGCAATGTATTTTGGGACATCCACAATCATTTCATAAGGCTGGTTCATTCCAATCTGAAACTAAGTCAGAGGGCACATCCACTTCAATTGACCTATCATTCACCCTGATATTATCATTACTCTGTCTAAGTAGTTGTCTAATATGACAGCACTCCTATGAAGATGCAGACCTGACTTAAAACTTCCTACAGGCATGATCCTAAGGGTTGAGAGACTTGTTTGTTTCTAAGTAACATCTGTTGAGAAAATCCATTTTATCTGTCAGTGGATTTGTTTTGACATCTGAGACCAAACTTTCCTGGGTTCTCCTTTTTATTTTCTTCCTTCCTGTCTGTCTTTCCTGTTTCTCCACTGAAATGATGCTCATCACTATCCTTTCTTCCTGCCAGTGGCAGTGGGAGCAGCCAGCTGGGCTTGGCTTGACAAGTACCGAATGAAGCTTATATGTGCCAGGAATGTCTGCCTGTGTTAGTGACAGCCACTAGCTCACCAGTTATTGTATCAGAGTCTTTTGAAAGAGAATTTGTAAGTGGGAATGACTGTGAAACCAGTTGTCTTTTGCTGCCCTTAATGTAGAACCATTAAGAGCTTTAAAATTTCAACTCAACTTTTGAGTTTGAAGAAAGCTCTCTTTGTAAATTTCCTGGCCCAGAGTGCTCTTACTTCATGCTCTTGCCACGGTACTCTGTTGGTTTGTCGTGGTTCTAAGGAATAAATCCTGTTTTAAATTTCTTTGGTTTCTTATAACAAAGGGCTCTGGAGGAAAGAAAATCTTTTAATCCTCCCCGCAATAACCTGACACGACCTTCTAAATACACTATTAACTCAAAAATATTAACAATATTTTGAAGCTGTCTTAAGAAGAGCTTACAATAGAGATGGACCAAATATTTAGAAGAATAATTATACTTAGTTCTGAGGAAATTAGTATCCATAACACAATTACACATTTAAAAAGGGCTAAATGTTAAAAAGTATTTAAAAAGCCAGGCAGTAGGGTATTGTTCAGTAGCACTGGCAAAATACAGACAGTTTTCTGCATGGTCTTTCTAGGCTTGTGATTTCCTGACTGCCTTAGCACAAATTACTTGCCCTCTCTCTGTTCTTTAGAGACTCCAATCTGTTTTTTCTTCATAACTGCTTAGCTTTCAGAAGATGTTCATTTTTTTTTTTTTAATATGCTTAATACAAGATACTTCTTAGATCTGCAGGAGACAGTTTTCTGCAAACCTGGCCTCTCTGCTATGTTAGTAGATTGCCAAGAGTTGCACACAGCTTAGATATCAAGTAGGTGTTTTGTAAAAATTGAATACTGTTGTACTAGTATAAATACATTAAAATAACTAATTTGGAAAGAAAATTATAGCAGTAAAGAATCACAAAGGTAGCAACTTAAAATTAGGTATCCAACACTATACTCTGACTGGGGGCAGAAAGATAAACCTCAGCGTGGGATGAACAGCAGAAAAATTCAGAGGAAAGTCAGTAGGAAAAGCTAGAGGAAAAAAAAAAAAATCCAGCTTTTTTTCTGTCTCTTTGGTTAAAATACCTGAATTCAGAGATAAAATAGGGGTTTGGAGCCTGAAGTTTTTTTGTTACTTTTATGCTTCTCAGGTATGCAGCAAGTAGCAATTGTGCATTCCCTCATAAAAATACTTGCTAAATCCTGCAGCCTTTAGTCAGTCATTCTCCATCATGAATTTCTATGAAATATCTGATCTAAACCTAGTGAAGCCAGTGAGAGTCTTTCAATTGCTTCAAGCACACATTGCAAAATAACAGCTAGATCCATGGAGGGACGTGGAGGATATGATGCCCCAGAGAAGGATGTACACAGGTATTCCCTGCTGCTCTGTGCCAGCTGGTTGCTTTGGAGCTGGTAGTAACCGTGCTGTCTGTCTGGAGAGGAGAGTACTCCAAGGGTAGAATTCCCACTTTGACTTCAGATTTGAACCCAGATTAGCAGCTCCAATGGAAGCATATGCTTGGTGCCAACTCCTCCTGGTGTAAGGACATTTTTGGGCAAGAAGTATAACACAGAATCATTAAGGTGAGAGTGAGAAAGAACCACTGCAGGTCATCTAGTCCAACCTCCCTGCTCAAGCAGGGTGCCCTGCTGCACATTATTCAGGATTGTTTCCAGACTGCTTTTGAATATCTTCAGAAAAGGAAACTCCACAGCCTCTCTGGTTAATCTGTCCAACACAGTAAAGAAGTTCAGCCTTAGCTGTCCAACACAGTAAAGAAGTTCAGCCTTATGTCTGAGTGGAACTCTTTGTGCTTCAGTTTCTGCTCATTGCCTCTTGTCCTATTGCTTGGCATTGCTGAGCTAAGCCTGCCCCCATCCTCTTGTATAGTACAGGGTGGTATCATGGGAGAAGTGTGGCAGGAACAGTCAGGTGGGACTTACCTGGGTCTTTGGTGTTCCACTTTTGCAGCCCAGGCCCTCTGTCATGGCAGAAGAGAATGGTTGGCACTGTGGAGTCAGGAGCAGCAGCTCCACTGTGGTACTGCAGTGCTCTAACAGCATGTCCCTGTTTTGACCAGCACAGTGGCTGTACTGTCCCTGGTCCCAGCCATGATCAGTCCTCCAGCAGCTATCACTTTCCCCCAAAAGCTTTCTGCTTTTCTTTGAGGGTTGTATTACTGTCTCTACAAACCCCTCTCTGGACTGTCTTCTCATTCTTGTTACTTTCTTCTGACAAGAAGTAGTTATAACAAGCAAAGTCCAACTCCTGCTTCTGTGTTTGAGTCTGGAGGAGATCCCTCAGGCTGCACCGCCCAGTTCCTCCTCCAACCTTGTCATGCTAATTCGTGCTTTAGCTTGTAGCTTCTATTGTTATATTTACTGCTAAACAAAAGAAGTATTTTCTTGCTCCCTCACTTAGACTGAGTAGGAGATAGTTATGTCCACCAGCTTCCAGGAGCTTTGTGGCTGCTGGCTGCTCAGAAAGCTTGCTTGCTGAGCACCACCTCATCTCCAGCAAGGCAGGGTGCAAAAAGCCTGATGGCCTCACAGATTCAGTAATTTTATCCAAGCCCATATGGATCTTATATTATTCATGGCTTCTGATGGGCTGCATATTCCTCACTGATTTAGTGGTTGATTTGTGATGTTTTTCGATGAGTCAAATCTCTGTAATAGTGACACTACATCCATGTATGTGGTAAATGTGAAAGAAAACAGATGTCTATAAAAATCACTGAGTCTGATTTGGAACGATGAACAGTATTGTGATTAATGAGTACTGTGCAACTCATGTGTAGTATTTTTACATGATGGGATGGAAATTGCTTGTTTCACACCTATATGATTTCTATCTTAGTATTTGGATTCAGTCAAATAAAGTTAAGTATTGGGCTGCTTACTTGGGGAGAAATGGCACAGTTACTACTGAGTTTTGAAACTTCTAGTACAGTCATGCTACCTTGAATTCCCTTCAACATTGATTTTTTTTTCTGGCAATATCTGCACTGTGCTCATATGTAAAAGGAAAAAAACAGTAGCCAATGAGTAAGTGTCATCTACAAATGTGGAAAGATAGTGTAGCAGATGCTCCCCAATAGATTTCTCCAAATAAAACGTAAATGTTTTTAGTTTTGCTCTTGCAAGTTGCCTCAGACCGAAGCTAAAACATTTGCTGAACTCTAGATTAAGGACAGAATCCTAATGCAGATTTAATCAGACGCTGAAGCACAGAGTTACAAAATTCCTGAAATCGGAAGGCAAAGAATTTCGCAAAAATAAGTATCAGCCAAGTCCTATTCCTGTAAGACTGGAGGTTGAATAATGGAAGAGCAGTGGCAGAAAGTAATAGCTGAACACAGAAAAATGAAAGGTCTGACCCTATGAACTAGCTTTGAGGTCATGAACAGGATCTTACAAAATCAACACAAATTCATTACTGGAAGAAGCTAGGATAAAATCTTAAAACACAGGGCAAGTGTGATGAGTCAGATCTGGTCAAGTGGTGTATACGTGCAAAATT